TGTACTCCTATACATTTTTACTCCTTTTATGTACTTAGATTGCCTCATGCTTTATATTTGATATTTATATTCTATAAATTTAAGCTCCTCACTGTGAGCAACAGTATAATTTATAATTTATATAACGCTTTGTCATTAAGAATTTATTCTTGGACAATAAAGTATATTTTTGATTGATTGATTGATAATAACCACCACTCTAACATTCTTGTTGCCATATTGAAACGAAATTACAAACGTGTATAAAAAGAAAATTTCTACATACAGGGTGTGCTTACGATATCTCAGAGATATATCAAACGCTTCATGTAGCGTGTTCAAACTTGATTCCGCGTTTTCTGACAGCTTATACTCCATATTACCAAAGTTATGAATTGAAGTTCATCGATTACCCCGATTTTCCATCAGAAGTAGTTAGTCTAGTGATGAAATACCCGCCGGCTCAGCAAAATACTCCACCCCTTGACCGCAACGTTAAATTGTTATTTTCAACCCCTTTCGTTTTAATCACATCCAAAACCCTTCGAATACATCCCCAGCGAATCATCACATATTCCAAAATGGCCTGAGAACTACATTGGATATAAAGGAGAAATGAAAAATTCGAACCAGATCTTCGACAATAGCAAGATGAAAAATAAATGAAAAACTAAGAGAAATTAGTTATCCTCATAGCAAGGTTGTGAAGAATGTCATGATTACCCAGGGACCAAGATTATATTTCGAGACTTCTGCCGAAGAGTATAAAAGGTCCCGTGGTAATAATATTATTAGTTCTGTGAAACTGATATATGAACCTATTGCAGAAGCAATTCTTTCCAATATCAGTTAGCCATTACCATGATAATTATAATTTATATCAAAGTAATTCAAACTTCGAAGGGTTTTAGAGGGAGATAATGGCAGCACTGTGCATTTCGAGTATCACCGTAGGACATACATATACGCAACGTTAATCAAATGAAAATCACCATCATATCTCCCAAGTAAGGATATGTGCGAGGACTAATTACAGTCCCCGATCAATCAATCGCAAACCTTTCAGGATTAGAATTTTCCGAATATCCGCAGACAGTCTCCCTCAGAGCGAAGCATTATCCAACTAAAATTTAATTAGAACTTAATGATGATGGGGGGCGCGCAATATTACACACATGCTGCGTGTAAGTGTGGCCAACCATATGAATTATTGCGTCCAGGACCCAGGCAGATTCCGATACACAGGGCGATTTGTTAATGGCTTCTGATATATACCTGAGGCATTGTTTCAATTTTCATCAGACCGAGTTGGACTGATGAGACCGAAACAGTACTGTTGGGTTAACTCAATTCGTCCTAGACCTGTTTGTTTGGTTGTATGGAAAACACTCTGTATTCGATACATGAATTACGAGTGAACGAGTTTCAATCCAGCCATCATCCTTAAGCACGTTACTCCACGCGGAACGAAGATATTGCGAAAGTTGATAAGAGGACAAATTGCTTTTATGTTTTCAGATATTTTCGTGATTGGTGAACGTGATCCCATTCGAACATCCCTGATGGATCGACCGAGTGTGAATTTAGTATGTATTTTATGACTTTGGTGTTTGTTATACCGATATTACAAACTCAGCAGAGTAAATTCCCTCGGCTCTACAAGATGTTGATTAGGTACATATGAGACTGAGAAATGCGCTAGCAATTAGTCCATGAGGCTTCATGCTTTAAAATCCTTATTGGGTGTGAAGTAGTTCAAGTATTCAGCAAGTATAGAAATTGCAGTCCTCATAGGTCTAGAGCAGCAGTTCCAAAATTTTGTTGGTGGCGGAACCCTTCTGAAAAACTTAATTCCTAACGAAACTCTGATTCTAAACTGGAAGCAAAACCAGTTATATATGTGATAAGCATACGAAAAAAGGTAGATACAGAAGATAGTAAATTAGTGGGCAGATTATGAAACCAAGTTCATTCAATGGGAAACATGAATTTGTTTTTTATTCCTCATCAACTTAGTAATGTCAGACTTGACATGATAAAGTTCAATTATCATGTCTGGTTCGGTATCCAGTATATTGTGGTATTCAGTTTTTGTTGTTGTATATGCTGAAATTCCCGTTTCACACAAGTACTTTTTTGGGAACGGCAGAAGAAGCCTTCGTGTCTAGTTGTGAATATTCATCACGAATCCTGCATCAAAAATCAATTAGTGAAATTGTTGAAGTAGGCGTTCGTTTTTGGTCATTTATTTTTATCCTAGGTAACTTAATTCTTATTCACTTCAATGCATCATGTACTCATTTTATTATGACTGCCGACGGAGCCCTGCCGGCGGAGCCCTACCTACCTACCGGAGGCTTCGCGGGATCCGCGTAGAACACTTTCAGTACGCTGGTCTAGAGACATCGACATAAAATGTGAATTTTCTCCTTGGGTTTTGGCAGGTCAACAAGACTTCGCGTCCAGTGACCAGAGGATCTCAAGTCTTGAAGTGATTCTAGGAGTTTTTCTTCGACTTGACCTTCAGAGCATTGGAGCCTTCTAATGGCAAAAGTTCGAAGGTATATATTATATGAGTAGGTTATATGAATTTGCAGTGTATGGTTTATACTGCAAATTCGTCAAATGCAAACCCATTCATTATACATTTGCGCTGCAGAGAGACCAAATATCACAATACAGTGGCTAGATCTTTCACACGTATAGAATCTCTGCTTCATTGCAATACATATTTGAATATTATGAAAAATATGACTGTCAGTTTGTTTGTTAGGCTTCAACGCCTAAACTACTCAACCGATTATCATGTACACATATTCTTAGATGTAATACAAAGGACATAGGATACCTTTTATCGAGAAAAAATGTTTTACGGCGGGTAAACATATTTTGGCAGACATGATTGTTGGATAAAATATTCAACAATCAGACATGAATCTCTATACGTCGATATCTTAGATATTAATCATTAGAATATGTCATTTGGGACTCGTAAGTCAGGTGGGCACCTCGAAGGCGCAAATTCATTACTGCATGGGAGATACCCTTCAGATTTTTTGCTATTCAGTGACTTTACCACGAATGGCATTGACGTTTTAGTCTTCTGCGTAACACTGTGGCGTAGTGTAACCAAAATGCACGAATTCAACACTACCTGAATTGGTCCATCTAGACACAGGGCGCAACGAATAATCTATGCGGAAGCATGTAGTTGTAGTGAAATACATTGCAACTTTTGTTGTAAATTATTTCAATGAAGCATGTTTTCAGTTTTTCAAACTTCATTGTATGTAGTAATGCTTGAATACTGAATCACATTGATTCTGTCCTATTGGAATGTAGTGATCTTCGATATTTATTTAAGGGCTCCAACGTGATCGAAGCGGCGGGTAAAAGCTAGTTTTGGTTATGAAAGGTCATGTAGAAATACAGTTCAATGGGTATATTATGTGAAATGGAACTATGGTTCTGTTCGGAAACATCCTGTATGGATACTCTTCACTCGCTCAAACGACACGATCCCCTTATAGCTTCTACATCGACATCTAATAACATTTCCTTTCCCATATGTTCCTCTGGCAGGAAAATTTCGTGCTATATTACTAAATAAGAAGGAAATCACTTAGATTCTGGGACAGAAGTCTCTAAATATAATTGGGACATTACTCGAAGAGAATTTAATATAAAAGACCCTGGAAAGCATAAACGCACTCCAGGGGGAACGTGAGAAATGGCACATTATGCAAATCAAATCACCGAATATAATCCTGCAATTAGTATGAGTTGATCATCAAAAGACGGACACATTTTGTTGACATTGAGTGAACGGTGTATAGAAATGAATATATAGGGCGAACATATTTGTACAAATACTGTCTGTAAGTTAATCCAGGAGGTGGTACATTCATTTATAGAGATTTTTTTGGATTTTCTGTCCTCGTTTCTATAAGATAAAAATATGAATATTATTTCAATATACGTGTAGTAAGGACAAATCAGATGATTTGCCCCAAAATGTCACTGCCTTTAAAGAATTTTCCTATCAGAGAGCCTAAAAGAGAAATTCACTAGCTTGTCAGTGACAATTTGTATTGAAAAAGGTTTTGAGAAGAGAAATAATAAAGGTATATAGAAAAAATATCAAATTTTTACTTATCTTTGGACGTTTCGGAAACGAATCTGTTCCCGTTTTCAACATAAGAAATGGATTTTTTGTATTGCAATATACGTGTAATAAAGACAAATCAGATGATTTGCCCCAAAATGTCACTGCGTTTAAAGAGAGCCTAAAAGAAAAATTCACTAGCTTATCAGTAACAATTTGTATTGAAAAAGGTTTGGAGAAGAGAAATAATAAAGGTATATAGAAAAAATATCAAATTTCACTCATCTTTCGACGTTTCGGGAACGAATCTGTTCCTGTTTTCAACATAAGAAATGGATTTTTTGTATTGCAAATCCGTATTTGTCCTGACACTTTCCAGTTCTCAGTGACAATTGGTGACGTTGGCAATCAAATGAGTTACAGGATGTTTTCATTCATCAATCTTGAATTTACCATTTTCATTTTCAGATTTAAGTAGTGAATACCATGTTCTATCTATATCAAATGAACAAGAAGCAATGCTATTGTCTCCGTTCAGAAGAATGCAAGCAGATTCCTTGATTTTTCTCTTCTGGTTGTTATCTCCTTTCCCAATGATTTTAATATTATTCCACTCTGCCATTGCAACATGCTGATTTTCAATATTTCACCCACATTTCGAAACTAATATAGTACCAACATCGCCGAATATTAACATCTTGTTCAAAATATTTTGCCGATATTATCGTAATATTGCACCGATATTGTCCCAATATAATATGGAGTACTTATTGAGTTGTTTTGAAAATGATCTTCCAGAATTCAAATCAAGTGACCTAGCTGGATCGTCTCATGAATCCAATCAGGAAACTCTCGAACATCAATCCCAGAATGAACAGAACAACCGCCGTGGTATTGAGACATTCCCTTTTGTTCCAGAAGAATCATCGGGTCCAATTTCCGACGACGACTTCGCTTTCTGCGACCCCCTCCCGAGCGCACCCCCCCAAGTACTCGACTTAAACTCCCCAGACAGCATCAACGAAGGTGCCGCTCCATCCCTCAATCTCCTCTCTCCAAACAAGGCCGAAACCAGCGTGAAGCGTCACCCCTCCCCGTATTACTACAGCGACCTCTACAAATACAAAACGACTGACAACTCGGCCCCCAATAAACTGCCAATTAACAAAAACGAGAAAAATCAAAGTCTAAAGCTAGATAGCGAATCAAAAAACGATAATAGCAATAACAGGAGGACCAAGAGCAACAGGAAGTTCAGGAAGAGTTCCAGCCTCGATAATCCGTATGAGGTTAGAGGGAAAGCTGTGAGGGCAAGGCCAGCTGCGAAGTACAAGAAAAGTTCCAGTGTTGACACTCAGAGCACCGATTCAAAGTAAGTTTTTGTCAATCATAACCTATAGGTTAATATTATATGAGGAGATGGTATGAGGCCAGGTAGCCACGTGGTAGGAGCGTTAGTATTCTAATCACGATGGCTTGCTGGTCGTGGGGTCAAATCCCCGACTGCACACATTTTTCTGATGGCCTTGAAGAGTTCTGAGGGTTCTTAGTAAGCGGGCAACCGAATGACGGACGGGAAATTTACAAATGAGAAGATCTCTTTTAGAGGTTCAAAGCTCAAAATGGAGTTACTAAGTTTGAATCTTGCTCTTGCTAGTCAAATTCAGTAACTTTACGTTAGTTTTGACATATTTTTTACACCTACCTGAGATTATTCACCGTCTTTCGCATACAATGACCACCTATTTTATTTGACAACCCTCACATATCATTGTGTTGACTTCTGCTACTGTAGTTGAACTAGAGAGTTGAGATGACTTCTTTGATATCGAAGAGAATGGATTTGATTGTATCCACCATTGATAAGATGGATGATTTGTCCAATTTGTATACCGGGTGTCCTAGAGCTTTTTCAGCAGATATCTAGATTATTAATCATACAAAAATTCAAAAAAATATGGAGCTCTCCAAAATGGTGAAATCAAATCAAATGGAAACCACTGGTTTTTCAAATTGCCCCCCCCCCCCATGTTTTTTTTCGTTCATCTTAGGAAACTTCTCATTCTCAATATTGGACTATACATCACGATTGATATAGCGTTATAGTCAAAATTAATAAATATTATACTGTTACCCCCCGTTTTCCATGAAAAATCAGAGCTACACATATAATATCTGAATATGCTATATAAGGTGAGTGAAACGAGTGAATATGGTCATTTCAAACCATCATAGAAGGAAAAATCGATATTTTTTCATAAAAATTATTAAATTATTTGAAATCTCCGAAGATGAAGTTCTTGCTGAATATCTAGTCCAATATTTTTTTTTATCGCTTGGAGCGCACGAAAGGGAATCCCTATAATGTTCAAAGAACATCGTGCGTTCCTAGGGAGGATAGGGACAGGAGGTAGGTATTGGATTTTTTTTTGGAACTTTTCGAGATTATATGTTGTTGGGAATACTTCCACAGGCAATGAATTCCAGAGCCTAGCCGTTCTATGGATGAAGGAGTCTTGATAAAGTGCTGTTCGACATCTTTCGAGGTTGACAACGAAAGGACGTGCTGACTGGGCTTGTCTAGTTCGTCTGATTGGTATTGCTAGTGAAGGGATGATAGCAGAGATTTCCGAAGAACATTTCCCGTGGAAATATCGATAGAAAAGTGGAAAGGTCGCCGACCTTTCTACGGTGTTCCAATGATGTCAAAGAGTGAGTGAGTGTGGCGTCACCCACCAGGCGGATGGCCCTTCTCTGGATGGAATCTAAGAGCATCAGCGTATGTTTTGGTGCTGAACCCCATATGTGGGAACAGTATTCTAGAACAGGCCGTATCTGCGCTTTGTAGATCATGAGAAGCTGTTGAGGTGTAAAGTAGCTTTTCGCACGGAACAAGAATCCGAGTTTTTGTGAATTGAGAATGGAAAGTTCTACGAGATGAACCGAAAAAACATGCGGGTGGAACTTGAGAAGTTAGGAATGGTTTCTAGTAGGTTGTTGGCATGAGGGTGATTCGATTTCATGATTTCATTGTCTTGGAGAGCTTTTGCTTCCATACATTGCAAAATTTTTTGAATTTTGTTTGCATTTTAGATAACCCAGATATATGTTAGCCTAAAAGCTTAGGGACACCCGGTATACTATTAATCCATGACCATTCATGAGTAAACATAAGGATGTGAGATAAAACGATCAATAAAAACAGACTATGAACCACCGGAAACATAACATAATGAAATCAAATTGAAACAATGTATCGATAATTTTTTTTATTTTATGAAGTTGAATGACAACTTGTAATATATCTATTAGACCACAGCAGTGGCGTACCTACGGGAGCGATGAGGGGGATATATCCCCCCCCCCCATGGCCCAGATGCCGATAGAAAAACATCAGTTATAAACTTATGAGGTGAGAATAAGATGGGTTGAATTCTGGTGGGATCATTACATTCCACTTGGCCAGAAATATTCTAATTCTTTCAGTTTCATCATTTAAATAATTAGATTCTGATCTGTGTAGCCAAATTGGTCAGTTATGAATATGCGACAGAAATACGTCATCATTTCTGCGAATAGTGCAAGCATGTTATCTCAGTGTAGGTCGAATGTTCGTTCGGTTTTGGGCTGTGATTCCCCGATATTATTCAGTCAGTTCGTTCATTCTAGGTAATGAGTTGTACGTTCGATAACAAGTAAGAGATTTAATTTTGTAATGTTCAAAATTATTGTAGTTACCAATAATCTTGAATGAAAATATGTTTTGAAATGAAAACAAGTACATCCCTCCCCAAGGTACTCTTCTGGGTACGCCACTGGACCACAGGGCGTTTTCATAGTGAGACATCATTTCCAACAGGTTAAAAACCTCGAAAGAAAATATTCAACGAAAAATCACCTATATAAATGTTGCAGAAGAAAGAAGTTCAAACAGTCACACATAAGTTCAATCCTGTTACGGCCCTGTCTACGAAAACATTTTAATAAGTTCATTATTTTAATGAACGTGCGAGGCATAACAAATGCACTGAAAAAAAATGAGAACATAATTTCGACTGAACTGTCGTGTTGATCGAATGTAGTGAGTGGTAGTGAATCAGACCGAAATGGCAATTACGCCAGTTCCGTAATAACAATAATTACTGAAATGTTCAACTATTGGTATCTCCTTTATTTTGCAACCTGTATATAGGCAATTTTTTTAGAATTGATATATTTTGATCAATATGAACATGCTGCCCCACCTTTGAAAACAACCTGTATAGTTTATTGCTTTCAAATTGGGAACACCTTCGCATTGCATAAGTGAACGAAGTTTTTTATTTTGAATTGAATTGAACTTTTATTTTGACTCGGCCTTTATACTTGATGAAAATCCATATAGTAAATGTAGAAAAAGTCACAAAAGATAAGATATATCCACAATATTCCTAATTACACGAAATGATTCGCTAACACGGTCTATATAGCTTCTTCTACCCCCGGTATGAAGTATGAGGTTGCCATTTTCAAAAATTCCCACCCGTTATTTGGGTGAGAGTTTCTTGAAACCAGCCAACCAACTCCTACTCCTCCTGGAGTTTGGAGTAATCCTCATGTCATTCTCTTTTTGGTACTATTACCTACTAATACCTACGCCTGGTTTGTCTGTCTTTGTCCATGTCTAGGCAAATTTTATCTTTTGGATAACCCTTCCTAGTGTGGCCTAACGGCGTTCAGAGCTGTTAGTCATTGATTTCGTTGATGTGCAATGGAAATGCGTCACTTTTAATAAGTATAGTCTTAATGACTAAACTTACATTTACTTGCCTAACTCTTCTATCCCACTTTTCCGACCTTAGCCAAGGCTTCAAAGGAGATATACAAATGACTCAATTGACTATTCTGAATTACAATTATTAACGCTTTCTGAAAATGAATCGACTATTCGGAAATATATTAATTTCTGAAATTCAAATGACTATTCTGAGTTCTGAGATCCAATTGTCGCTTCCTGAAAAACAAGTGACTATTCTGAAATACAATAGATGCTTCGTGAAATTGAATTGACTATTGTGAAATACAATTGATGCTTTCTGAAAGTCAAATGACTATCCTGAGATTCAATCGTCGCTGCTTGAAATACAAGTGACTATTCTGAAATACAATAGATGCTTTGTGAAATTGAATTGACTATTGTGAAATACAATTGATGCTTTCCGAAATTCAAATGACTATTCTGAAATACAACTGGAAGAGGTGAGTAATATACCCATCAGATGAACTCGACAAGCTGACTGAGCTTGAGCACATTCTTTTGTAGTCACAACCTCGAAATTTGTCGAACAACTCTCTACCGAAATTCGTTCGTCCATGGAACAGAAAAACATTACAATATACTTCCAGTGTTTGTATTCGTTCCAGGGACGCACCAAATGGCACCTCGATGCCTCCGAATCTAGTAACTGTCACCGCGTATGACGACTATGGACTAGACGACATGACCCGCCAACGTCATGTGTACGAAACGGCCTTCGATTGTCGCATCAGCAAATCGGACGACGACCTCGACCAAATCGACAAGGTGAGTTATCACAATTCAATTAAATTCAATTTATTGGGCCAGAAGGAATTTTACATTCCTATCGCAAGAGGTTTGGTTCAACGAAAGCGTACAGATGACAAGTTCAGAAAGTCTGTAAAGCAAGTTCTCATTGAACATGTATTTTATAATGTTCAGGACTTCTTTGATAAAGATATGGTTCCTATAATGACCTTTGGTAACTGTCATCATCGGTTCGACTGGAGGCATTATATTGGGTGTTGCAGTGGTATTAATTGCGTAAATGAGTGTTGATTACAAAAAATCGACCTTCTCGATTGATTTTCGATCACGCGATGAAAAACCTTGTAATGAATAGGTTTCTTAACTTCATGTCAGCTCAGGAATATCTCAAAACCATAGTAGCATCTTTATTGTAAGAATTGGTCAGAAAAATCCAAAAGGGCCTCCTTGCGCCCCCTTGGATTGTCTTATCTGAACATTTACAACAAAAATATATGTTTTCTTCTGTTGAACTAGTCGATGAATTCAACGCAATATGAATCCATTTTCTAGGATGTGTTCTATCGTGACAAAATACGTTGAATGTGGCTTGCATAATTTCAAAATCGGAAATGATGCGATGAAAACCTAAAAATGAAAAATTAGCGATTTTGAACATCCTGTATGAGGAATATGGAAAATCAAAAAACCATTTCGAGATATTGGCTTGAACGTTGGAAAAAATTATTGATAGAAAAATAAAAAAAGTTCCATGGAATACGGAAGCGTTTGAACTCTCTCATTTTTGTAATACTTTTTCCGAACACTTGGTGTATAATGACAAAAAATTTCCCGACGAGTTTTGAACGAGGAATCTTGAACGGAAAGATCGCATCTTCCAAGAACCGCATTCCAATTGAAAATCCATTAATTTCCTGAGAAGTTATGGCAGTTTGAAAATTGTCGAATATTTCAGTAGTCCACTTGTTTTTTTTTTTTTGAGCACTTCATATCTACTTTTATAAGGTGAGCAATCACCCTGTGCTGGTGCACGTCAACGATGTCTGGCAGGGCCACCTCGGATCGGCGCCTTCTGTCGACAGCAATACGTTGAGCAGCAGGAACAGCAGGCAGTGCAAGCAGGAAGAGGTCAACTCCGTTCTGGCGTCCTTGTCGCAGGATATACAGGTGAGCGAGAAATTTCAAGTGCAATACTCTCGTCGAATTTACGCCACATATACCTATTTTATATTGATTATCTCGTGAATTGATAGTTTTTGATATGATCATTCTTTATTCAAAATCATCAGGAATACTCTTTTGAATTGATATAAATCGGCATCTTTTGAGAACGCTACACCGCGCGTTGAGTTATTATAGCATCGGTTATAACACAGCAAGAACGTGAGTTCGATGGAAAAATCAATTCTAAAAAAGTCACTAGTGCAGTTACCGATTTTGTAAGTAGTTATATTGTATCGACCACGATTATTTGTTTGTCAGTAAGTATAAATAACGGTCAGATTTGTAACCTCTGCATGTCTGCATCATTCAAAGTAGGATTTCAAAATTTGGTGGGTACAGCATGTAGGCATACAGTTTTTGACAAAGGAATATTTATTCTACATAGTTAGAGAAGGTACCAGCAGTCATGAAAATTCTCAAACTCCAATCTATGGAATTAACTGAAATGCCCGAATCCTAACAGGGCTGACCATAACTCGCCAGGATAGCAGGACGTGCGAGCAGATAAGCAGGAAATCTGGTAATTAAATTATACTTCGGGATCTATGCTTCGGGATATTCGCGATTGCGTTATGATGCTAAACGGAAATACGCACTAACGACCTATTTCGATCCTTATATTTGGAACTCCAAGTAATGGGTATAAGCGAGAAAATGATATACGCTATTTAAATAATGAAACCGAGATCATCTTTTCCAATGAAACTGGTCGATTGAAAATTGGAAACGTTCTTAGGACCTAGCAGCAGTAACAGGACTAGTTGTCCTACAAACTTCCATAGGAGAAATACTACAACCACCTCAGTCACATCACTAACAAATGATGCAGAAGAAATATCTGCTTGCTGCGGAAGGACCTTATAATGTTCAATTGGCCAGAACAACCGCAAAGTCAATGTAGCTTCAGAACTGATCATTGCTGTACAACAACTCTACCCAATATTGTAGACGATTTATTGGTTTCCATTGATGATAATTTAGTATTTCTCCTTGCACTAATAGATTATTTAAAAGCTTTCGATTAGATGAATCATGAACTATTGTTAAATCTAATGAAATATTCGGGATTTACCGCTCGCAACGTGTTATTTTGGGTAGTGTCGTGTCAAACTATCTCAATCTCCATCGCGGCGTGCCACAAGGCTCAATAATCGGTCCGCTCCTATTTGTTATTTATACCTACGCCGACGACGATGACCAAAATAATCTCGTAAATCTCTCCAGAAACTATTGTTTGAACATAAATGGAGTAAACCCTATACGAGATACAATGTATATAACAATAGTCTGGCACTCTCGAAGACGCGTCTATCCCCTCTCTCGTTGCACACAGCACATTATCAAGACAACCTATCTCTTCTACTAACCTTGATCCACCACGGCATATAGGAGGTTTGGAGGTTAATCTCTGGACGAACCTTCCTTCCAGAAAATGCACCTGCTCGCCGCGGAAGACCCCCCCTCCGCCGCTTCCGGGGGGCCCCCACCTCGCCGCTACCCGCCCTCACCACCGTCCACGGCCCCGCTGCCCACCAAGTTCCGGGGCAAGGAGCTCGCGATGAACAGCGTGCGCAGCGCCCCGAACCTACCAGCTCGACCCACGGCGCGCCTCAAGGACCTCCACCTGCCGGGGAAGTCCCTGAGGGGCAGGACCCCGGCGACGGGCGGGGACCCGCCGCGGGACATGCCCAGGTGAGTGCAATGAACTCAATATAAACAACTGGAAGGGACCCTCTGTGAACGACGAGTGAGGCAAAAATATTTTTCAGGCAACCCGCAGTGTTTACGGATACCTATCTCTCTCTATCTTATGTTCGCTAATGGAAAGCGCTCGCATTATTTGAAATATTTTCTCGTTTTTTGCTTTTATTCAAGAGTAAAAGTGATTAAATAAAAATATTCATATAGGAAAAAGAATGTTGCAATCAATTATCATTAAAAAATTATTATAGATTTTTTTATTAACATAAAAATGAAATTTCAATTTTATTCTTACAGGATTAGGAAGTCGAATGAATACGAAATTGAAATTATATATTTTCATTCAAATGTCACAATATATTGTCCAGGGTGAGCGAAGCACAATCAGAAGAAAAAGATAAACGATAGGAAAAATTTGAAAACAGATTCTTGAATTGTATTGACTACCTATAAGGACCATTTTGAGCATAATTTCCATAGGTTCCTATTTTACTATTAGGTCTCTGCCTACAAACATATCCCTATTAGAAAGTAAAAAAATACAATTCTCTATACAAAATCCTTCTCCAAAGGAACAGTTTGGGTTTCATTATTGATGATCTTCGAAACTTGGAAGCTGAAAGTCATAGGTAAATTCCATAATATGAGAAACATCTTGCTTAGGACCCAATGTTATGAACTTCCACAGATGCATCCTGAAAATCAATTACTACCTAGTTTTTAATTTCAAAGAGGTGCAAACATATTTTTTTTTCATTATTAATCAACTAGGTACCTATGAGTTTTCTTATTTTCCTTCAAGGATCAGTATTTTTTGGTAACAAATGCTCAGGAAATGGAAATATACTGGGTACAGCATCTGGTTTCAATAACAGTAGCAGTACCTGGTATGTCTAAATAAATAATCAGTTGGCAGGAAATGGTATCCACAAAGCTTGCTGGTTCTAGATGGAGTCTAACTCTCTCTACGAACTGCCTTAATCCATAATTCAAGAATGTCTGAATGGAAAACTGCAACAAATAATAATACAATATGTTTATGGAAAAGTCATGGAAGTATTTAACTTTGATAAATAATATAGGTATAGTTTTTGAACATATTCCGAGACTGCGGACATTGTACACCTAACTGATGATCATTTCATGAACTATATTTTCCAAAAATCTTAACAAATATTCAACTTACCCATGGAATGACAATTTCCTTTTGTCTTGCTCGTTCTTGCATCCAAAGGTGACACAATAAATCACCATTGTTATCAAAACCTTCTCAACAATCAGTTCACAGTGTTCACACCAACAAATTCAGTCCTTTTGATGAAACAAAACACGCCAAATGAATAGATATTTCACATAACCAAAGACAATGAACTTAGTTATTCACTTTCTTGCCTGTTTAGATGAGAGAAAGTACTTCAGTGGTGCTATGGCTAGGCTCTAATCTGCCATTCTACCATCTAATTAGCGACTGGACACCATGCTCAATGCGCTCTGCAGAATTCGGTTTCAGAAAGCGATCCCTTTTTTGCAGGAGTGCCTTCGAAATCGAGTTCGGCTCCGGAACGTCCGACCGCCTGATCTCAGAGTTCAAGGGCAGGCCGGGGTCTAGCTCGAAAGACGCCGACCAAATATACGAGATTAAGGGTAGGCCCAGAAAAGATTTGTTGTTGATGAATAAGCGGTCCAAGGATAGTCTGTTAGAGTTTAAGGGTAGAAGCAGGATAAGGCATAAGTACTCGAGCACGGAGAGTATGACGACTAGCAGTAGTGGTGGCAGTATGGAGAGCATTAAGAGTAGTACTAGTGAAGGGAATAGGAGTACTTCTAGTTCTGAGAGTAGGCAGTCGCCTTCATTGAGTTCCCATAGTTCGGATTCTGGAGGTAAGTCATTTTCATTCGCAAGTGTATTTCGAATGATTTTCGTATGTAATACAACAAGAGTATTGATGATTATCGAAATCCAAATCGAAAAAAATTATGTTGCTCGGAGGTGGTCAAAATATTTTCAGACACCATGAAGGGTCATTCCCTACATGGTACTGTGGAAATCCCTATATGTAGGTGTACCCAATACCTACCTCCTCTTCCTATCCTCCCTAGGTACGCCCTGTGATAAATTGGTATAGCTCTGCTTACATATACATATACAATCTTCAATACGCAGCATCTCTGATCCTCTATTCTGCTCCATTTATTATTCTTCGTTATTACTTTCCATCTTCCAGCTGCATCTGATACGCTTGCGCTCACAAATTTTTCATTTTCTTCATTGTCTTTGTACACTGTTCTGCAACACATTGTCTATGGTCTATCGGATGTGTTTCCAACTTGTTCTTGGCTTCCAGCCAACTCACGAGAAAAATTGTCTTCTCCAGCATCCTTTACATTCTACTCCATAACCATGCCAGAACCGCTACAATCAGGATACAAACGACAACAACATCAAAGATTTATCTGATCGTGAAATCATGACCTTTGGCACCCTGAGCTGATGCTCCACCGCTGTTGCCTGCTTGAGATATAATAACCTCTTCTTTCGATTGCGTAGATCCCATGTCTGAATCTTATTCGGATAATCCTCTGAAGTTGTAAAATGGTACTGTTGATGTCTCTTCAAGATGATCATTTCAGTAGGTAAATAACTTCTATTGTGTGCACTGGCAAGATCGCCATGTGATAATTTGGTATATTTATTCCTCGAGTTATCGATTCATGAAGAAAAGATCATGAGAGCACTTAGATATTTATTTATTCTAACCAAGAAAAATACATCCTCCTAACAAGAGAACTGTACATATTCTAAAATGTTTTACTCAATACTGAATACTTGATATGCCCAAAAGTTTTCCTTCTTCTACGAGTAATGGGGTAAAGGGTTAGTCCAGCTTTGTGGAGCCCCTGCACAGGGCTAAGGCTGTTTACTCAGATGTCATCTTGTTTCCCAGAGGTATCATGTTATCGACACCATATAACCTCGGTGCCATTCATCCATCATCAAGGGTCCCCACAACTTGAATTAGGTTGCCAGAGCCTCATTCATCAATCCGCGGCCATACAATAAAACTATCCTATCTCAGTGATCACAAATTGCACCATCTGCCAAGCAGCCGTGGCTTGTTTTTCCCGCACCATGGTGACTTGGTGAGGTTGCTCTTCAGGGGAGAAGGGAAAAAGAAGAATTAGCCAAGAAAGACCGATAGGAAATATCAAGAACTGAAGATTGAAGAATATATAGCGCAAGTGTGGTTGCCTGAAGCAACATAATTTTTTTGAAAAAGAGAAGAAATTTTCAATAATCATCAATAAAACGAGTTATGTTTGTTGAGATTATTTCACTCGTTATTTCTTGAATAAAACAATAATTCGTCGTATTTTCATTTGCAGTCGTTGCGTTATACAACTAATGATACATCATAGAAATCAGATCGTAGTGATCGTTAAATATCATCTCATTGTTAGGAGGTTATCGATTCATTCATGAGTTTAGATTGATATAATTAAAACTTCAAAAGTGTTTCTGTGAAATGCCAATCATACAAAATTCAAAATTGGTTCAAAATTCTTCGATACAAAGTAATAGGGAATGCCTATCACGATTTTGGCAGGAGTTTAGTGTTGGGTGTTACTTATTCCTGAATATAACAACATCATGACAGTCGTGACATCATTTTGTTTGATTTTTGATCAAACTACCAATGAGAAAGCGAAAGACACAATCGAAAACATAATGTCTCCGATTATCAACAGAAATATTCAAATTAATCAAAAACGTGTATTCCAAAATGAGTGGAATAATCGATGACATAGCGGTTATTCACGGGCGCTGTGTGATTACAGCAGGTAATCCAAAGAACTACGCCGTCCCGCAAGGCTCAGGAGGCATCCTTGCGCAACACGCCAACAAGCTCCACATCCTGAGCCCGATCTCAGACAAATCATCTCAGGAACCAGTTTCGGAAACCTCCGACAACAACAGAAACAACAATTCGCAAAAGTGCTCTCCCGAAGAAGTCGATGAGAATCAAAAAACCAAACGCCGTCTACCTCAAAACAAGAACCTATTGAATTTAGGTGAGTCACGATATTATCAATTCGAAAGCATGTTTTATTCGGTAAATCAAGGAAATTTGTACTTTTTCTCTACCAAATTTCTTGCTAGGAAATGGAGAGAAGAATAATTTTCTCGGAAGGGATAAGGACAAAAGCGACTGTGACCGATTTTCCGAAACAAAAATTCCCAAATTAAGTACTCAACAGGCTCTCTTCTAAAATGTGGACGAACCTGAAAGATTGAGATTCTCGCAGCCCACTATTGTTTGTTGAAGGGGTAAAGATTTCAGGAATGCCTATTAGGCATTTTTTCCGAAAAAGTGGATAGCCTTTTCAATTCAGGCATAGCTAAAATATCGCCACACACAATTTGAACGCAATACCTCATATAATTTAATATATTCGCTTCTAGAATTCACTCTGTTTCAGAATCTGAAAAAAAATCAATGAAGAAACACATCGAATACTTATATACGAAGTTCTATCTTTTTGTAAGTAAAGGAAGATGCCTCTATAGGTCAAGAAAAAAACGATAAAACTATTAAAACTTGAGTTGGGGCTCACCATTCTGAAAACTCTAGGAAACCATCAATCACTCACTTCACCAAACAGTTACTTTGATAATCATCTCGACTGACGAATAGCTGTCGAATATAACACGAATAGAATGACGAACAAACACTGCAGAGACTGCAGGGAGATATTCTGATGCTTGAAATGTTCATAATAATATACCGATCTTGAAAGATGACCTATGAAAACTGTTATAGTATGAAGAATATTTCCTTGAATTGAATTGAAAAAACTATATATGGATCATAATAGAAACATTTTCAACTTCAATATCATGTTTGATTGACCTAGACACCTAAAGAGTCCTTTCTGTAGAAGTTTCAGCAATGAAACTTCGTATTTAAGTATTCGATTGTTTCTCCATTGGATGATGACTAAAAATTGTTCTAAAATTGTTCTATCCGTCATTCGGTTGCCCCCTTACGAGCAACCCTCAAAAGTCTTCGAGAGTCTTGTGCGAGCAAGGATTCATGTACTTCATCGCTTATATCAAGTCAGCTTTCACAATTTTCTGATTTCAATATAATGTATATAATGTATACAGGGTGTCCCGAAATAACATAGAGATATTTCAACCACAGATACTGGGAACAAAAATATTAAAAAGAGTTCCTATAAACATGAGCCCAGAAATGGACCCCTGAAAGAGGACCCGAGATAATGGTTCTTCGTAAATATTTCCGAAACAATTTGTGTTGGTAAAACGAAATTAAGTACACGCATTACTTTTGATGACTGATTGGGAAATGTTGAGAACTTTTCGAATTTTTTTTCAGAGGCGTGGGAAATAGGTGAGGCTATAGGGGCATTTCTTCTCCCAACTTCTTTTTCTATGCAATTTTCGGCAGTATTATGAAAATATTAACATTTTCATCATCATTTTCACCAAAAAACGATACTCTTGTTTCGTTTCGATAGCACTCACCATTTTCGAGATTAATCAACTTTAAAAGTCTGCTGCGTGAAAAAATAGTACTTTTTCCTTATAATAGGGTACCAAATTTTCATAAAAAATATTTTTTGATAGAAAATACCCTTTTTTCACCAACTATTCATGATGTTTGACTCAACAAATGACTATTTTTATTACGCAGCATCAGACTTTTAGAATCGATTTAACTCGAAGATGGTGGGTGCTATAGAAACTAAACGAAACTAGCATTTTAAGGCAAAGATCATGATATTTTCATATTTCCTGGTGATACTGGCCGAAAATTGCATAGAAAAACAAGTTGGGGGAAGATATGCCCCTAGCCCCACCTATTTCTGACGCCCCTGATCAAAATTTCTGAAAATTATCAACTTTTCCAAATCGGGCATGAAAAGTAATTAACATGTAAAAAATTTCAACACAGAGGGTTATTTACAAAAAAGAAAACATCATCTCGGGCGCTCTTTCAGGAGGCCATTCCTAGGCTCATGTTTACAGGAACTTTTTTTACTATTTTTGCTCCTAAAATCTGTGGTTGAAATCTTTCTATGTGATTTCGGGACACCCTGTATAATATCTTCTCAATATTGAATCATCGATTAACAGAATAAGTAGTGTATTATACACAAAAATAAATTAGATCTCCGCTCTCGATTTGTTGTCTCCCTCCGCTACGCATTCGGACACAACACAACCTCGAGCTAAAGTCTAATATTTTTCCTTGTATAATAAATAACTAGTTCCTGCACTATGGTTTTTCACATGTTTTTCATGTGCAATGAGCATGCTGTAAAATTCTATTGCTCCAACGCTTGAGAGTGGGGGGTAGCTCATCCGGTCCACTCCCTACTAGTTTACATGGGAAAAAAATTTAAAAAACACCTAAGCGACCTGTACGTCAATTATCTCAACCAACATATGAAAAGCTATCACGAGAGGAACACCTCGAAATAACATAGGACACATGCAATTTGAAATTTTCCGGGAAATGATCATTTCTGGATTAGGTTTCCACGGGACGAATCCTGCCGAATTCCAGGGATCCGACAGCGGGATTTCCATACAGTCTCGGGAAGGGATCAAATCGAGATTCGGATTCACGATCGCAGAGTTATCAGCTCCGCCTAGCCAGCAGGATTTCTCAGATTTGCCATTCGACATGCCGAAACTGAGGCGCAGGAGGATGGTCCCCGAGGTAGCCTGCACGTCAGGTCAGTATTCCACAATATTACACTGACGCAAATTTATCAGATTCGAAACATTTAGGAGTTTAGGACCCCGCACAAATCAAATGCAGTTTGATTTCTGTCAATTTACCTGAAATTTTGGGAGGAAGTAGTTCAAAGTATGCTGAACAAAAGTCTCCATGGGGTCAAACGATTTCTATGAGTAGTTTTCGTGCTACGCTCTCGTGAATCCTCTGATGCTACGTATAGAAAAAATTTGACTAAATGATCTACAACACGCACTTGTGAGATATCGAAATCGAATTCAAGAATTCAGGAAGTTTCCTGATTAGTCAACCTGGACTCATTTCAGGGTAATAATTTAATGTATTCATTTGAGAATATCATGTGCCCAACCAGTTTTTGTTTAATCTGATGAACTGTTCTCCAAGTATTCGATCATTTTGGATCTGTTGAAGATCCAATTTTCGAATTATTCTTGACAGTGATTGCATGTGAATGCATAGAATATAAGTGATCATACAGAAAAGTGAATTCCATATGTTAATATACCGGGTGGCTACAGAAGTATTGCCTATGGAATATCTCAGTTATTGTATGAAGTAGGTTTGTGAAATTTCTAGCGTCGATATAATGACAAAAGAGCTAGAATTTGAGCATATTGACATGTCGAAGTTAACTTCCGGTCTGACCGGAAGTAACATCAACTTCCTTATTTTAAATGGAAACCCTATTATTTTTTCTTTTCGCTTTATTCAGCATTCAATTCCCTTTCTAATGACATATCACAAGCTGGTATCCAACCAGAAACTAGATCATAAAAAAATTATTATTGAAATTCACCGAGTAGGCCGTGGAAGCAAAATGAAAGCCAAAAATTGAAAAGTTGACTATGGAAACCATACGTCACTTGATGACAGTTGCTACCACTGTGATATTTTATTTTCATTCGTCGGCGTTATAAAAAGCCGCCAAAAAAATATTGGAAAAATTTGGAAAAAAACAATACTCTGTAGGTCCATAACTTGAATAGGAACATACAACTTTTTCTTGCCTGTACTATTCAGCATAACCATTCCTTTCTAATGATATAATAGAAAGTCATTTTTTGGCTTTCATTTTGCTTCCACGGCCTACTCGGTGAATTTCAATAATAATTTTTTTCTGATCTAGTTTCTGGTTAGATACCAACTTGTGATATGTCATTAGAAAGGGAATTGAATGCTGAATAAAGCGAAAAGAAAAAAAAATAGGGTTTCTATTTAAAATAAGAAAGTTGATGTCACTTCCGGTCAGACCGGAAGTTAACTTCGACATGTCAATATGCTCAAATTCTAGCTCTTATGTCATTATATCGACGCTCCAAAGTTCACAAACCTACTTCATACAATAACTGAGATATTCCGTAGGCAATACTTCCGTAGCCACCCGGTATATAGGTAAAATTTCTATAATTAAATAAAAACCTCAATATTTTCTAATAAAATTGATTTTGCTTCTAGGGTGATTAACGTAGGCCACACATTAGAAGTTTTCTAACTTGTAGTTGGATTCAAAATTTGAAATGCTGTTATAATCGATCATTTCTAATCTACCTGGAATATTTTCCATCCTCCAACCTGTTACAGTGGATGGATTCCTATTTGTTTCGAATGTAATAGTCTTATTGGAACCAATTTATGCAAGTGAAAATTCCATCGTGCATGTCTACATAAAAACTTAGCAAAATGACTCTATGTGTATTTGTTCGCTCATAGTTTCAGGGCATACAATTATTAATCTAATGAAATAGCAATAAAATATATTGAATTCAATACATATGGTTTCAGCAAAGCACTTGATTTGGTCGATTTCTTACAGTGTGAACTCAGGCGAACGAACATGTTTCTGGAAGTTAATAACATTCCATTCAATTCCTCTTTACCAAATTCAGATTATTCGGTTTTCGATTTCAAGATTTCAGCTGTCAAATTCGTGAAATCCACGTATTTTAATTCCGCCCTTCGAATATCGTTTTCTCCAGGCAGCGCGACCTCGGTGGACTTGCGAGACCTACCCTTCGACATGCCAAAACTGAGGCGCCGCATGAGATTGCAGACCTCCAACTTGGAAGGCAGCGCGTCCCAGGCGTCCTCCAGTCAAAGCGTCATCGAGGCGGACAGAAAAGGTTTGTTTTCCTACCTTCAATCTGTTTCCCTTTATGTCTTGCATGATCGGTGACGCTGAATTGAATGTTTGTTGTGTGTTGCGTGGCGAGGTATTGAAAATGGAAGGGAGTTTTTCGAGATACCTGAATACGATTGCGATTAACACGAAAACAGCGTTGCTAGAAGTGGTACATTGAACTACATGTGGTACTTTTTCGTAAAAAAAGTACAGTGGCATGGTACTTCATTTCCAAAATGGGCCAGAATGTGGTAAAAAATGAAATCACGAACATATCGAGCGTGTTTCATGAAGAATGTCGAGCATTGATCACAGCATCTACTTTTTTGTCACTTGTAATTTGTCATTCTTGGCACTTTTTGAGTCTCTTTACTTATCATTCAATTTGTCACTTGCTTGTCACCTGCATTTTGTCACTGGTGTCATCATTTTCGCTTTTCATATTCACGTCAGACACAGAAGTATCACATAATCTATAAGTAAAATACATAGTAGTCAAAAGCGCCGATGGAAAGCAAGGACCATAAACCTCCTGGCCTTGAGCATATTATATTTTACTATATTTGTTTCATTTTTATTGCATGCGATTGATATTTCTGGCAATAAATGCAGGCTATTTTACAAATTAGTGGTGCCCGCGAGAGTCTCGTTTTCGAGAGTCTCGCATGATCTCGTCTCGTTTTCGAGACAAGACTCGAGACGAGACTCGGACAAGACGAGACGAGACTTTTATTGGTCTCGTCTCAAGTCTCGTGCAAGACTTCTTGTGTCTCGTGCGAGAGTCGCAGGTAAATATTTCTGTGTGCCGACTGCAGACTTGAGAATTTCATTCATAATACAATATATTTAGGAAGAATTCAGACTATTTAACACAGATAGACAAAACATTTCATTCATAAATACTTCGAAAACACAATCCATGATCTCTTATGGCGGCGGAAAATAAAGGCAATTCTGCAATAACGACAGATCGCAAATTGAATGACAACCTGAAAATCTATAAATAAGTCATTCTGTGCTAAATAGTCTAAGATAAAGAATAACTTTGTTTTGACGGGAGTATGGATGCAGGAGCTTCAAAAATATTATTCTGTGTCTCGGTGTAATGAAAACACAGATATATTGCAATGGTGGAGAATGCATGCTTCTGAATCTCCCATTCTAAGTTTGATGGCACGAGATCTCTTGAGCATACCGGCTACTTCAGTTTTTTGGTTTAGATGCATGATGTAAGTTTCTATACCTATAAGGTACTCACTTTTCAATAAATAATGTTGTTTTTGTTGTAATTTTGTCTTCCTACTCCAACATTATATCTAGAAAGGAGGTAAAGGTAAATATCCCGTACTAGACTGGAACAAGATTGTGCATGACGAAATTGCGATACATCTGCGAGACTCTCGTACGAGACGCGAGACAAGACGAGACTGGAGGCCGCGAGACAAGACGAGACTGAAGGCCGCGAGACGAGACTCGAGACAAGACTTCATATTTCATCGGCGAGACGAGACGAGACTATATGAAAGTCTCGTCTCGTTGGTCTCGTGTGAATCACTATTACAAATTCACTTTCAATTTTACACACACTGAAATCTGTGTTCTGCCTTTATTAAGTTATGAGTTGGGTAAAAGGAACCATGAAAACAGTAACGTTCAATTTGCGTCTAATGATGCATACAAATTTCATGAAATACCGAAAATCCACCAATTCATCACTAGAACTGCATCATAGCAATACGAATTACCGCAATAAAATAGGTCCGGACTCGTGTTTCCTGCAAAGCAACGAAATATTGCGACAGCTGTCTAAAATGATACTAGTCGTGTAGGCGCACAATGAGAATTATTGCAATTTTTTGAAAAATTGTGAACTACAGGGAATCTTATAATTTCAAATTCTTATTAATTTTCTTGTTGATATTATTTTTAAAATATTTTCTCTATGAATTAAATAAAAATGTATGTGGTGATCCTCTGGGAGGGAGGGGGGTGAATGTGTGTTACGAGACGAGATTCTAAAGTTTAGGAAGCATTTCTAAACCTCATTATCAGATTGGTCACGTGACACATTATGGACGCATGTGCATTTGCCGGCCGAAAAACTTTGAATTTGGGGTAAAACTGCATTTATCATGCGATGGGTTTTTTTTTCGGGAATTTTTGTCTAAAAAACACGAATTTGATAGTGAAAATGTGAACACACCACTATTTATCGAGATATATCAAGAAAAAGTTCGAAATTTCGCATTCTTTTTTCCCTTGTGTTGGATACATTCACAGCTACTTGATGCTCTTCTTATTTTGTCATCGGACACTTTATACAGGGTGATCCAAGGTGGATGGCCTATTAGAAGTATATATGGAGAACGAAAAGACAGAACATTCTGAAAACTGGGATGCTTCAATAATTGATCATTCTATATCCGTCTAAAGTATTTTCATCGATACAGTGTTGCCACTTCAATCAGAAACACCTAGCAACTTCGTCATTTTAAATGGAGCACCCTATATTTTATTGCATTTTTAGATTCTTCCTGAACAGCTGATTTCATCAATGTATCACACTTTGGGTCTAGTAGGAATGATTACAGAGATATAGGGTGTTCAAAATCGAGATTTTTCAATTTTAGGATTTTTTTGTGTCGAAACTATTCATTATCGATCGAAACGGCTTACATGTTCCTATCTTAACTTTTGATTCACGATCTTCTGACATTCAATTGAAACAGATACAGGGTGATCAAAATTCTGAATCTTGAAGAACCCTGTATTTCTTCCAATTAAATTCCAGTAGATAGTGGATCAAGAGTTAAGACAGGGACATGCAAGCCGTTCTGAGCGATATTGAATAGTTGCGACACAAAAAAATCCTAAAATTGAAATATCTCGATTTTGAACACCCTATACTCTGTAATCATTTCTGCTAGACCCCAAGTGTGATACCTTGATGAAATGAGCTCTTCAGGAAAAATCTGAAAATGCAATAAAATACAGTAAACGTAATGTAAAGAAGGCAAATTGTTCTAAATGCGATCCAGAAGACAGGCGGAAAAGAAGGTAAAATTTGTGACTCTATAGTGAAATATCTCAGAAAATAATGGTTTGTTCACATTTTCATTATCAAACTCGTGTTTCTCAGACAAAAATACGTAAGTACCAATAAAAAATTCGAAAAAAAAAACCATCGCGGTAAAACTGCATTTAGCATGCGATGGGTTTTTTTCGAAAAATTGTTTTGGTACTTACGTATTTTTGTCTGAAAAACAAACCATTATTTATCAAGATATTTCACTATAAAGTTACAAATTTCGCCTTTTTTTCCGCCTGTCTTCTGGATTGAATTTAAAACAATTTACCCTTCTTTTTTCATCATTGGACAATTTATATATTTCACAATGTAAGACACATTTTTTTCTATTATTGAGTCAACTAGAAATATGATTTTCTTGTGATTTATCCATATTGAGTGAAAAGAAGGAAGAATATCATTTGAAATAATGGCGTGTGTAATGTCATTCCAAAGCAATCTATTGACATTTGACATCTCGTATTTGGATTGCCTATGGATTAAATGGCCGTCATCTGGTATGCTTGCTCACTAAATAGAAAAAACTCACCATAAAAATCATATTTCCTGTTGAATTTTCTATTTCTATATAAAAATGTGTTATTGAAGTACATCATGAGTACCTATATAAAGTGTCCAATGACAAAATAACAAGAGCAAGTACCTGTAAATGCATCCAACGCTAGGGGTAAAAGGAGTCGAAATTTCGAACTTTTTTTTGAAATATCTGGATAAATAGTGGTTTGTTCACATTTTCATTATCCAATTCGTGTTTTTCAGACAAAAGTACGTAAGTACCAAAAAAAATTTCGAAAAAAAACCCATCGCATGCTAAATGCAGTTTTACCATATTCTCTACTATATACTCAAAGCTACCAACTTTACTCATTATGTAAGTACTCACCATAAAAAGAGGCTTCACCATTAACCAAGATTTTCCCATAGAGTCATCACTCAGTGGTTATCACACACGAATCACGATAACCTATTCACAAGTTCGATTCGAAAAAATAATGAGTGAGAATATATCCAGTTTTCATTTGTTGTCAAACATTGATCAACATCTCAGAGAATTGGAAAACTATATAAAACCATTGAGTATTCACAATAAATAATCAAGGATAAAACTACTGTTTACGACTTCACTAGTCTCAACAAAAACAAAGAATGCACGAATTGATTTTCATAACTGCCTACTTCAACTTTTTTGTACATTCCAAACTATCATGATAAAAAGCGCATTTGCCAATTTGTCTGATGATAATACTACATATACAGTATAGGTATAAGTATCAGATTACTCGGATTTAACATGATTGATCAATCACAATCTTTTTTCTTGGCAATGAAACGTATGGGACGAACAGAAAAACTGCCAGTTGGTACAAACTCAGCAGTTTTTATCTACGGAATCTATGGTGATCGACTGTAATCTATCAAATTGTATTTCCTTTTAGCTCCTGGGGTGTTACAAAGTTATCAGCTCATTCGATTGAAAATGTCAAATAAGATTGAGCACATTTCTACAATAATAATGGCTCGAATTAATTTTTGTAATCGATGTTCCAACTACAATGCCCGACACGAAGAAATGAGCGTTATATACCGGGTGTCAATGAAACTATTAGACAAGTCATAACTTCTGAATATAAGGTGTATCACAATGAGATTTGGTATAGGTGAATGGTAATTATGAGCCAAGTCTAGACCAGAATTTGACATTCTTAAGAGTATTTACAGAACAAGTCAAAAACAATATGAGGTTACATATAGAATTTTTAGCTTAACTACTTTCATTTCGAAATTTCATGTGACGCTGTAGCTATGTTGAATGTGAAACACCAATTGTTTCAAATCGTTGAGAAGGTGAAACAATTTACAGGGTGGCTCTCGAAATAAAAAAGTTAGAAGCACTCAGTTGGTTTGGCATGTATTCTTAAGAACACATTTCTTATCAATCGATTTCCACTAGCCTGTTTTCATCTCTGTCTGATGATAGTTATAATTCAAACATTATCACAAATCACCCAACAACCAGATGCAAAAGCTTGGATGCCGATTTTGATATTCGATGGCTCAAAATTCGTTACTTTGAATAACACCACCATACATACACACGGAGAAAAATGTATTGTTGATATCACCAGCGAAGAGACGTTATAATGTCTCTTCGCTGATTTCACACATCACTCCTCGAACTACACTGAAAAAACAAGCTCGCACTATTTGCAGCAATGGTAAAAGTATTTCTGTTGCAATTTCATGATGAAAATATATTCATGTATTCAATATTAAATTGACCAATTTGGCTAGACAGATAATTATCGAACCCCAGCGAGCACAAACATCACTGAGATGTTTTGGGATGTTTTGAAAATGTTTTCATGATGTTTTTTTGAGACGTGATATTCACTTCCCAAAGGGATCTTCAAAGGATATCGAAAGTATTGTTTTTGTTCTTCTGTTGCATTTCTTTGTTTGCATACTGAGAAATAAAAATAATGTTAACATGTGGATGTCATTTCTTTCTTCGTTCATTGCAGATGTTGCAGATATTCAATACATACATTCAATTCCCAGTTCCTTGAATTGAACTATAGGTATTCATGTGAATTATAAATCTCAGCATATTTTATATTTTTTCGACGCCGCATATTTTCATGCTGGCAACAAATATATTCCATGAACATTCAATTTGACATATTTTCAGAATATTCTGAGAATATGTTTCCTCTGGCACACCCTATTATTCTCTAGCCGCAATTCTAATTATCCTATATCTATAATGAAGAGCATGTTGACATCTTTCTATTCATATCATTAATCAGGTTCCTATAGCGCAGTGGACAAGGTGTGATAATTGTAAAAATTCAATCACAAGAGTGTAAGTTCGATTCCCCAACGGGGAAAGCTAAAGCTCTTTTTTAATTTCCTACTTTTTTATATAATTATACCTACGACCTACGACCAGGAATGGTTTATCAGCAGCGATTAAATGTGCTCAAAACGCTCTGGGAAAATTATGTTGTGTCCATGAAAAGGCTATCAAAAGAGCCAGGGAGAATATATTTTTGCGACATCCCAAGGATATCTTTATAAACGCCGCCTGTGTAAATAGGACATCGCAGTGGAGGTTCCATGTCTCGACATCCCGTACTTCTAACATCTCTGAGATGTTGCATTGCTCGTTGGGAATCAAGTTCAATAATGAAACTGAAAAAAATAACAATATTCCTGGTCATTTATATTTGGTCAAGTGGAGTGAAGTGATCGAAAGAGTTGAACCCATCTCAGTATATAGAAGTAATTCCCCCTTATTGTAATCATTATGACACTGCACATTCGGTTGAGGTGGAAGCCTTCGTATTGGTTCGAGATGAGTTATCTGTGACATTATAAAGATGTACCTAAACATATACTCATACATACCAATTTCATTAAAATGAACAAAAAATGAGAAAAAAATAATTTTCAGCACTGAAAAAAGAATATTCCATTCCATGGCTTTCGTAGATGTATTATTTACTGATGGTTTTATCTTTGCAGCACTATGTCGACCTAAGCTGACTCTCAATCTGGGAGAGTTGGGAGTTCGTCAACATTCTGGATTTGGGCTAACATTGAATGGACTGGGCTTAACTCTGAATCTTCCCTCGCCCCCACCCATTTCAGACACTATCGACGTTAATTTGCCATTAGAAAAACAAGGGTGAGTGAACAACTGAAAAATATACAATATACAAATATTATTGGAACAGGTCTTCAGAATAAGTAATTGATTTGAAGCACACTGTAACTGAAATGACTGTGGGAACACAGGGTATTTTTTCACGAGTTTTCTCTTTGTTTCAGGTGGTTCCATGGTTCGATCAGTAGAGTAGAAGCTGAAAACGTTCTGAGGGTACTCAGAGAGGGGAGTTTTCTGGTTAGGAACAGCGAATCTATCAAACATGATTTCTCCCTATCTCTCAAGTAAGTATATATATAATATACACGGTGTCTCTGAAAGGTCTTCACAAAAACACATATTCCTCACGTCAAGTATTTTCATCATGCACTGAACTACTGAAATTCGAATTTGAATTTGATACCATTAAAGTAGGCAATCTAGTTTGATCAATAGTTTTTTTTTTAGAGTTAATAAGCGAAAACGATTTAAGAATTTTAACTTCAGAGCGATCATCCAGATAGCACGAATATTTCGCGAATGTTCGTGGGTTATTCCTTGCGAATATTCAGGATTTAATCTTCCAGAATGTTCTAAACATCCATAGAATATTCCGATGACATTCTGAAATTGAATATTCTAGACTGATAATCAAATAATGGAAGGTGAACGTAATTTTTGTCATCATTTCGATCCGTATGACTTACTGATCTAGCTAGAGGTTATAGATTACTGGCTTAAAACACCGGCGGTACCAGGTTCAAATCCAGCCACTATCACTTTATATTTCAATTCATCAATCTGCCGTGAAAGTTCCAATAATCCTCAAGTATTTCGAGAAGAATCATAGAATGTCCATACATTATGCATAGAATATTTTGAATGTGAAATATTCTGAGAATATACAAACGTTCTATTATTTGCTTGTATGAAATTCTATGAATGTTCTTTATGCTGTCTGATGGGCTAGCACCTACACTAAGCAAATTTGTACTGAAAGTATAAGTATACTCAAATCAAATTGTTTTGGTCTGAGGATTAGATATCTGGTAGGTTTTTGTGATGACCTTCCTCTTAGGATACAATGATACATATACATCATCATCATCATCATCAAAATACTTTATTGTCTGAAGATAGATACATCTTATTGACAAAGTCTGGAATCCTAAATTTAAATTTAAAAGTTTATAGTTCCAAAATATACACACAAATGTTGAAATCAGTTTTTTGGACAATACACAAGATAGTCACAGGGTGGAGACTTCAACTGGAAGGAATTTGCTACTAGGGGAGTGACTGATTTTTCTGAAAATTCGCGAGACACGTCAACGTTTAAATGTATTCACCTTTATTTGATTAGCAATATGGAGAATATAACCCTTCAGGGGTAGCTGGAATCAATCCAGAATGTTATTTTCAAATGCAACCCTATATGACTTGCGACCCCTCATTGGAAAGCTGGTTGACAGAGCAATCCAGCGAAATGATAATATTTTAGTTTGCATTACGTTTCAACGTGTTTTCATCAAAATTTCGACTTTTAGTGACAGTGACATTGGGCATTCCCACCAGTTTGCGATATTACTTAGTTTCGAAATCTGAATAATAAGGCAAAAAACTAAAATCCCTTTTGCGCCTCTATAAAAACACTGAAATACAATAGAGAAAAGCAGTTGTGGCAAAAAATTGCCATCAATTGTTCAATACACATTCTGAGTGATTTATACGTTGAAAAAAAAAAGATTTTCAAAATTACATTTCAACTTTATGCAACCTTCAAATGCATGAAGAACAAAAATTGGACGCCGGATTCATCTTTCTACCAGCTTTCCAATGAGGGGTCGGAAGCCATATATTTGGAAAAAATCATTTAGATGATGGTTTCGATTCAGCTATCCCTGGAGAGATATATTGTAGATATTGCTTGCAAAAGGTAGGTAAATATATAAACTCGTTGACGTTTGTCTGGAATTTTTAGAAGAAATACTCAGCTCGCCGCTAACAAATTTATTCCAGTCTAATTACCGTAAAACGTGGTGAATAGGATCAGTTTTCAATTTCGAGTGTTCATATCTCCGTTGAATATGAAGATATTTTTTTTCTTTAAACATGAAAATATGAGTTAGTGGAAGTACTAAATAGTTTTGGAATTGAATATTTTATAGGGTGAACCATGTTTCATATATATATTTTTTTGCTGTCTGATCCTATTCACCTCACGGGCGTGAATAGGATCACTGATTTATTTATGCGTTAGATTCGATTTGGCAGGGTGGTAGGGTGAATAGAACCGCAAATTGTCTTTTAAAAAAATACAAAACATTTATTTATCACTCAGTACAAGCGTAAATTTATATATTCAACAATAAAGGAACTTGAATTCTTTGGCAAAAGTTGAAACATAAAGTAATAAAATAAAATAAAATAATTCTCATTAGGTAATAAAGACTATAAGTAGACAAGAATAAAGAATTAAAAAGTTTTGAAATTTACTGCAAACTTCAGGTACCCTCTCAAGTACTTTTCCGGTTCTTCCAATTTTCCCATCACCTGGTCGAACGAGAATTCTGTCAATTCTTTGAGTTCAGGAAATTGATAAATGTACCCACAGGCATTTTTAGTTTTCTTCTATCTCAGGAAATTATATAAATATATGGTATGGTATATGGTATATATGTATATGGTATTCTGTACTCGGACACAGCTTTTCTGATCCTTTTCACCCCACCTATTTCGACAACAGATGTTTTTTTTTATTGCCAGGGCTGTGAAAAAAAACAACTCACTATTTTTTTGTTCTGTTGATAAAATTGCTTATAGTACTTGATATCGATAACTTCTATATCATTACTCACCTTTTTTTCGATTTGGGAACTTCACAACCTGTCAACTTTGTGTGACCATGATTTAGGCGCCAAATTTGGTCTTGTAGGTTAGGAACTGTCATATCCGGTGTTGCCGGATTTCAGGAAGGTTAATCATGCAGAAATGATCTTCGATGTTTATTAGCAAAGTTTAGTTGAAATCCGAGATGAATAGCTCATGTTTGTAGTTTCATCATATTTTTTTAAATTCGAATGAACTTTCGACCCTTTTCACCCCATCGATCCTATTCACCACGTTATACGGTACCACACTGTATATTCACTATCAAGGTATTTTTTGTTCCCTATGACTTTGAAAAACTTTGAAAAATGCGAATGTGAGAACAGAATGATAACATGTTTTAGATCACTCATGACAAAAATATAAAAGCAAGAGACGATAACTCAATAAGAAACAATATAAATGATAGTTGACATTTTGTCGTTGCAGGAGCGCCAGAGGTTTTATGCATATGAGGATCCAGAAAAGTTCCAGTGATGGTCATTTCATCTTAGGGCAGTTCAGCAAGCCCTTCACTTCCATTCCGGATATGATTAAACATTTTTCAATAAACCGCCTGCCGATCAGAGGGGCTGAGCACATGTGTTTATTGCAACCGGTCATTGCACAACTCTTGTGATAGGGAACTGTCTAACTGTCATGTCTTTCGATACGGAACGTTGCCACCATGTTACCAATAAGCTTTTACACGAAAATATTAGGAATCCCACAGAAATATTGTGTTAAATTATTCATGAGTATCAATTTTGTTCTTTTCTTTGGAGCAGAAAATCTTCTCAAGTATATGTTACATATTTAGGAAACACCCATGACCAAGATAAGATCGCACAGCATGGGGATCTCATGAACGAATTCGGTTAAATTGGAAGAATGTTGCGACATATTCAGGAGGTCATATCAACAAACCATGCACATTTTCAAAATAATATATGCATAGTTCTTCAGTTACCTATATTGAAAAAAAATAATTCAACATGGCGATTATCATTCCTCTATGCGACGTTTCGTATTCGTAGAACCATCATCAATGATATCTTTTCTTTGGAATTTCGAAAAACATTGATGATGGCTAGAACTAGGTCGGATAACACTTTCAAACAGTTCGTGGTTGTATTCATAATGAAAAAAGATTTCAGAATCTGTGAAACACAATCATAATCAGGGCCGTATTCGAAAATAAATTGTTTCTTCTATGAATATGAAATGTCACATACAGAAATCAATAGTACCACGTTTAATCCCATCAAAAGTTGCTGTGGTCAAGTATTGTCAGTTTTTCTGTAACTCCGATAACAACGTAAAAAATGATTTTCCGAAAATTATCTTTGTTTGGAAACTATTAATAATTTTGAAGTCTGTTGGAATGGCCTTCCGAATGCGCAACTTCTTCTCCATTCAACCTAATTGGTATATTACAAAGAGAGAGCAACTCAGTCTTTACCACAAAATAGTTCATAAAATGAACGGAAATGGTAGATAACGATAGTAACGGATTATCACGACGAAGGATACCATGTTTGATAGGGTTATTTCGAACAATCACGAAGATATTTATGTTCGAAGTTTCCATATGCTCAATGGGTGTGACTTCGCAATATCGAAACTACTTTCTCTGTCACACTCATTGAGCATATAGGTAGAAACTTAGAACGCGAATATCTTTGTAATCGTTTGAAATAACCCTATCAAACCAGGTATCGTTGAATTCGTTATGATAAGCCCTAACCGATTATTGAATAAAATACAGGGTGTGCCATCTGAAAATCAAAAGTTGGGGTCGTTTCCGGTAAAACCGGAATGGATTGAACAAAAATAGTTTTATCAATTTATGAGCAATTTGGTATACTCTTGCTACCCACCAATTTTCAAAATCCGATCTCGTTTTTTGTGCACTTCTCTGTATGTCAATCCATTTTATTTCTTCGAAAACAAAATGAATCAAATATTTTTGTGTAAGAGTTATATACCCACTGGCTTCCATTATTAAAAATCTAAAATATGAATTATATTCATTACTTTCGTTACTTTTTAGATTTTTTTAATTTTTTTAACAATAACTCATATGAAATATGATATATTATTAGATATACCCCTTCGTAACTATGGTGTGCTTATACTTAGTAATGCACTCTATGAATGTTTTCAACATACTATTGCGGGATATATCGTCAAGGAATGTGCAATATCATCTAGCCTATATTTTTTAATGATGCCGAGAGGCGAAATTGTTTCAAATCAAAATGTCCTTTGTATACCTAATAATTAATGATATCGATTCTTTTGATGACCTTCAATTTCGTACTATGATCGTCTTCCATAACATTTAGTTGTCAAACAAACACGAATTCACTTTAGTAACCTCATTTTCTTCATGTTTTCCAGATACAGGATCACTAAATATTAGGTACTATGTTAATGATGAAAATCAACATGTCGTTATGAATCGAATAGAGTAAAACTGTATACCTATAACTGATATGATTCAACATCTTCCTCAGTACATGCAGTAACAGATTTTGACAAATGTTGTCATCAACCTCAGACCAAATTTAGATACTGATGATCACAATTTTCTTGTAGTATCTAGTTATTGAATTTGGAAAATTATCAAACGTAATTCATCTGTATTGAAAAATACTGATATTTTAGCAGGATGAAATAGTTTTTGTGTCCAAACGGAAAATCATACAGACACTAACATAATAATTTGGGTCTGATTTTTTTAGGTCAACCCAATAATTTGGAATTATAGAAGGGTTAGTTTTTTCTTCATTATTTATAAGGTGTTTTTGTATTTTTCCAGAGTTTTTTTTATTTAGGCTCTAGGATCATATTGCCAAAGAAGATGACTGTGAATATTTATACATACCTACCCACTATATATTATTATATTATATATACATTTCAAGAGTTATAGTTAGATTTGAGGTAGATCTTAGATCAATGTAATTTATTCTAATAGATAAAAAAAGGAAAAACGTTATTGAAATATTACATATTACATATTATGTTAATACGATATTACATTCCCTCACATGTTATGGCTCATTGTAATATAATTATTATTACCTATATTATATTTTGTTCAACCAAAATTCGAAAATTATGACATTTACAGTTTCTTCTATATTGTAGCATAATGTATTATTGAGTATAGTACTATTAGTTTAGAATATTTTGAAATGAATGTGTCAATAATGGACTGAATAAAATCTATATAAAAATAATTGACATTGATTACTTGATAATTATCCTGTTTGACGTTGAATGTGGTCTTGCAGTAAACAAATGTCTCCTTGAATGTACGAATTGAAAAAAATTTGAAAATATATATAAAAGATCGAATGTCGAAAAGTAATGCAATGATTCACATATTGGGATGTACAAATTAATAAAAAAGCAGATTATTCGAAACACTTTATTGTAACAAACAATATAAACTCTTGTTATGTCACTAAAAACATATTTAAAATCTTAGAAATTGAAACGTAATCCAACTCCTAAGTAGTTAAGTAAAAGTCTTGTCTTGAAAACTTCCTTATACAGAGTGAGTCTAGAAACGTTCCCTATGGCCATTTGAAAATTCAATTTTATATAGGTTTCTGTAGTCACTCGGCAAAGAAATTTTATTTGAACACATTTCAGTCATAAATAATAATAAAAATAAATCATTAGAGAATTCAACAACATTAAATTGGTAGGCACACCAATTATTAGTCAGTAAATAATCTACTGTGTGAGTCAGATATATGCAGTCTGCTTTATCTTCCATAATTTAGTAGTAGGAATCGATTCTTAGAACAAAAAACTGGTACCGACTGCTTATTTCGCATCTACTTCAGGAAATGTCGGACTCACCCAGTGTTCGGTGTGTGTTTAAAAAGATACACTTATGATGAAAATCATTGCATATTTCTTAGTCGGAAGTTTCATCCACTATACCTAAAAATGAAAATGCAATAATTCTGATCATGTGTGTGGATATTTGTCGTAGGTTCCATAGTCCAAAACAGTTATCTGACGCATGCGCATAAGCTTGCGAAAACAAAGAAAGTTCATTCCGTACTTGAGTCTATGAATGCTATGACTACTACCCTTACAGTATGGATTAGAAACGTCGTTGAAATTTCACGAAGAGTCCAAGATTCCTAACTGATGTGTAGTAGGTACTGTAGTTTATTATGAGAAGATAAATTCACAAAAAATGTCAATACTGTACCTACCTCATGGAAGAAATATAAATAGGAATTAATACTATTTAAAAAATATACTGTTCAACATTGATAATAACTTATTTTTTATCACATGAGGAGAAAACCAATGTAGGTACACTCTATACTCTGAAATGGCATTTAAACATGCGAACATGAGTCCAGGTTAGCGAAAGAATTATTCATTTTCATGTATTTCTGCTGGGTCCTCTCGAAGAAATGCATTTTACAGATGTGGTAACAGTTGGATCCGTAAATGATGGCGGCAAAAAATATGACGCCAAACACGATTATCAATATCGTCTTCCAGTTGCTAGGCTCTTTGGGTCGTTGTGGACCTAGAGAATAACATAGAACTGAAGGAAACAGATCAACTACATAGAATTACGGTAACTTTTTTCAATATAGGAGTTTCAATCTACACTGGACTGCAAATATGAAGCCGGCCCTGTGTATGCTCAAATTGAAAGTTGGATAACAATTCCTACTAATGAATACACCTTCAGTTTAAAAAACTACCAAATGGACGTTTCTCAAGGTGGTGGTTGTTTTTTTTTGGGTCAGTGTGTTACAGGGTTTTATTCAAGTAGGTGGATAAACTTCAAGGGTCGATTTTTTTGGTGATTCCAAGACGAGAAGTTCCTAAAATGCATAATTTTCAAGATACACAGTCAAACTTTTTTGTTTTTTCACTTTTTTCGTAAATTCAGTAATGGCATAATCAGTACCTTACTATTACAAATAACACTGCAATATTTGAACAAAATTGGATCGAAGATTTGTTGCGATATTCACGGAAAAGAGATTTTTTCAAATCTTAGACACCCTGTATCTTGCAAACGGTGTATTCCCAAAAGCATGTTTACATAAAGTTTTCGACTTGGAATCACACTCGGAAAATCAACTCATGAAGTTTTGCCACATACTTAAATAGCACCCTGTGTACAAGGAATATTTTAACTATAGAATCCTGAGCTGAAAATATGAAGATTTTAAGCAAATCACATGAATAAAATCAGTCACATGTCTGAGTTATAGGGTGTTTTATTTGAAAATTTGAAAATAATTTGTGCCTATAGTACTTGGAAACTATAATTGACGTAACATTGTCATATTTGGCAAGAAGTGTAGATCCAATAGAGATTCAATACACTATACCAAATTATATTAAATGAACGCTTCTGGCTATACTACCAGAGGCGTATGACATGGGCAAGTGACTAGCTGATCCTTCCCAGATTCTACGGCACTGGCGGAGTTGCCACATGTTATCACAATTTTTTGATTCTCCAATACTTTCTACGTATATGCCATAATATTTCTTCAAAGCGATACATTCATTATTTTTCGAGATATTTCAAGTTAAACATGAGCCTGCATGCACAATTATCTTGATTTTGATGTAACCATATTAAATAGGTCGATGTTTTGGATCATTGGATTGCGCATTCATATCGTAAATGAAACTTCAATTGAAAATAAAAATTTTCGTAAGCTTGGCATAGCAATAAAGTAGTTTGCTTGTAGGCCAATTGACTGAACTCCATTTCCTATTTCCTATTACATCAGATAATAAAAATGGCATATTAATTTTGAAATTTTCAAATATAATGAATAATAAAACACCCTTCAACAGACAGGAGACTTCATAGTTTGAGCTCAGGATTTCATGGCTGAAATATTTCCATTTAGTATTGAAACACCCTGTATAGAGTAAGAATGACTTTGGATGTATGATGAGAATGGAATTCGAGACATTTATAAGACAAAAAAAAATATTTTTCACCGGTTTACCCGATTTTTCAACGGGTCACCCTGTATATTTTTCATTTATTTGACTCAAAATGACATGTGCCAATTATCATTTGATTATGAAGAAGAAACTATCTTTCTGCTGGAGCAATTTGGCAATTGGGTCATAAAATAATGTTGTATCCCTCGTTTCATCCTATCCTCCTATTCATATGAATAGAATAGAGAGTGAAAGTTGGAAAAATCAAATGATCATCACAGTGTAAAAATTAATTATTTATGAATCAAAGTAGCGGTCTGAATAACATGAACATAATTTTTTTACCTATAATATTCAATTTGAAAAATCAAGGCAACTATGATGTTAATATATATTAGTTTTTTTGCCTGATAGTGAAATGGTGAATATATTATTACTATTACTATGAGGTACATATTATTACCAACCTACAGACAGTATTAATATAACTATTATATATGACCCTGTTTTCTTGGATAAAACATCTCTAATGAGTAATAGGTAGGTAAGGTATGAAATCATTTATACTAATAAAATATCCCAGAAAAAATACCTCTTATTTTCCAAGGAATTTTCCAATTGCATTTTTTATGTGTTAATAAGCAATAATTAAATAGTTTGTAGGTAATTAAAGCAAAGTTAATAAGGCAGTGGTAGCAGAGTTATTTTTAGGAGAATCAAAAATCAAGGTTTTCAATATTCTAGGGAATTTCCAAATTTCAGGAAAAATACCCCTTGTGAAAAAGAGTTCATTATTTTCTCAAACATGTACCAACTAAACCCACACTTACGTAATTATAGAATTCTATTCGCGAATAGGTATTCATAGAGTCAACATCTATCTTGAATAGCTCTCGTAAATAGTACGGTAATCAGTGGAAAAAAGTAATCATGTCTTCAGACAGTGATGGCAGCTATAGTGAAATGGATATTGAAGACAATGGCGTTTGGAAAAAAGTGCGACATAAAAGGAAATCGAAAACAAGGGAAGAAAATGCTCCTAAAAAAAGTAAACAGCTTACACAAACTGAAATCAATGAAATAATTGTGGGTACTAGCACCTGTACTAATATGAACCAAACAAAAACCCCGTCCACACAAAAACAAACTCAACTTGGAACAACAGCACAAAAAACAAACGGCAACAAGAAACCAGTGAATTATTCAGCTAAAATGAACCAGATGATGAATCAGACATACAAAAACTTATATTATATTACCACTTCCGAAAATTTAACTAGACTTCAGTTTGCCGATATATGGAATACAAAATTTCCCAACACTAAAGATGTAATTCTGAAAACTTCCAAAGGATTTCTGATAAAATCTAATAACCAAAAAACAACTTTGGAGAAATTTATGTCCGAATTAGTTACACGGAAAAAAATACAGTCTTTTTCTGAAACACACTCTAATCATCATATGTCCAATAAATTACCTCAACCCACATATGCCTGTGTAATTGCCTCAGTTGAACTGGAAATTGAAGTGGAGGAAATTAGTAATTATCTCAATCAGAATGACATAACCCATAGATACTGTAAAAGAATCACATCAAAAGCGACTGGAAAATTAACAGCACTTATCAGAGTTATAACAGGAGATATAAGGGCTTTCCAAAAACTCATGAATGAAGGCGTATTTTACAAATTTCGACATTACCCTGTATACCCAAGTTCCCCACCAGAACCAATGCCAGTACCATGTGGAAAATGCTCACTGTACACCCACTCTACAATAAACTGCGACACGCCAATAAAGTGCAGAAAATGTTTAGGAAAACACCCAACCAACTCTTGTGATTCTCCACTGCCACCCAAATGTGCCTCATGTAATGCTGACGACCACGAAGCTTGGTCAGCAAAATGCCCAAAGAGACCCACCAAGCCTATTGAAGGAATTCCCATTTCCAAAATAAAATCAATGAATAAAAAATCACATGAAATGAATCCAAAAACTATACGAAACAACAAAATCCATGCAACCATGACTTATCATGATTACATAGTAGAAACTTATGTCAATAAGTTAAACAATCCAAAAAACACAGATAGACAGGATTTACTTCTTAAACTCAAGAAGAGATTCATAAATCTATATAACATTGACACCACTCCTGTTTTTGCTGGTAACCGTCTGTATATACTTATGTTCGATTTAGATACTCCAGATCAGAAAGAATCTCCTACTGAACCATCAGAAGGGCTTGCTGTACATATCAATGGGTAAAGACAAAC